AAAGTATTACCATGCAATAGAACCTCAAGATAGAATAGTATTAAACCAAAGGCCAAGTAATTGCAAATTTTGATAATAACCTAATTTATTTATGGATCAGTGCATGTTTTTGGTCATGATTGTCACAAAGTTCTGTCTTATGCTTGCTTCTAGATCTTAATGCTTGAATAATATGGATTCAAAAAAAACATATATATATATATATATATATATGGAGTGACATCCATATTAGAACTCTATTTTAGCAAGAGTAATAAATCCTTAATGTCAAAAGAAATGATAGATTTTAAAGAAAAAATTGTTATTAAGATGAACATTAGAATACTACAATGTGGTAAGATAATATATTTGAAGACAATGGTTTAAGAAGCTATAACAATTACTTAGATGATAATTTTACCTCCACCTTCTTGGGTATTAGGAGGTAAGGTGTCTTTTGTAACTTCCATTGAATCAGTGGACTAGGTATATCCCATTTTTGTATCAAAAAAACATTAAAAATTTAAAAACCACTATAAGTCTATTTATATAAAAGTAGTGTCTGTCCTTGAAATTTGCTAATTGACTCAATTTTCAAATTGTCCTTGAAGTTTGTTGATTGAATGTATTTTTGAGAAAAAATTTAATTATTGATTAATAAAATAAACTATCTAGCTTTCTAAATAGTTGATTTTCTTGTATATGTATTCTTAATAATAATTACAATAAAAATTTACACTCAAATTGATGTTTATCATTTCTTGTGCTTTATTTTTTAAGCCTATATTGAATCATAATGTACCAACTTAAAATACATAAATAAAATAAGCAAAATAAATATGCAAAATACTTTAATGCAATTTTGCATATTTTAATGCAATATAATTTAATGCAAAATACTTTTGAGATAAGACCCAATTTCAATCTTTTATTATTTTATATTCTTCTTACATTTTTTTTAATATTAAATTTAAGGTCCAAATTAAAATCATTAATTTAAATTTTGGCTACTATTCTAATATGGCATAAATCTTTTGTCAACAAAAAACTTAAGAAAAAGCCTAGATATGTTCATTTTAGTATTTATAAATTATTGATAAACATAAAATTACTTCAAAAAATCATAATCTTCAACATTTTTCTGATTTTTTTTTAGCTTGTTCCAATTAGGAATATAAATATTTTCTTATTATATATATATATATGTACACACACACAAATATATAGATATATATATATATATATATATATGGTATGCATTTCAAGCTTTCTTACTTGATGATGCTTTAGAAATACCAATCCTTTTGTAATGCTCCACAACAATATAACACTATATTAACGCATGTTAGAGCAACAACACTAGTTCCACAGTCTCCACACCACAAAATCTTTACATAAAACAATGCTGGTCAATACAAACACCAGTGACATATCACAGCCTTCACCACCATTCACCAGACCTTTCAACAGAGCCCCTCCTTCCTAATGTCCTCAAACTTTCACTGACTGTTTTTCTTTATCTTTTTTTCTTTCCTCATACAACCATTTCTTTGCTTTGCTTTACTTCTCTTTTACTTTCCTAAAATGTAGGTATATATTGGGCAGAGGGAGGGGGCTGTAGGGCAATGGACATCCAAGGAAAGCAAAGTTGCACAACAACAACTTCTTCTTCATGGGAGGGGTGTACAAAATACAAGAATAAGGGCAAGGGGGGCGGGGGCAGTAGTACTACGAGTAGTCAAAGACACTAATCTACAAGAAGACTAAGCTCTCTCTCTAATGGTATGTTTAATGGGGGGAAGTGTCCTGTTGATCATTGCTTTTGCTCCATTTGGTAGTTGGACTCAATCTGTACTCACTCACCCTGTGCTTGCTCTTGCTTGCTGCCTCATTCATGATGGCATTCTTTACCACCCCCCCCTGACAGTAAAACCCATGTTTGCAGTTGGCAATTCTGCCCAAAAGGGAAACCAATTTTTTTTATAATAAAAAGTAATAACAAGAATGAAGGAAGAAGTAGCTATTTGTTGGCTAAATATTGTACCCACTCTTCCTTGATGAGAGTCATTGTCTCTTCGGTTTTTTTGTTTTTACTCTTGGATATGAGATTGTCCAAACTGTAGCTAGAAAAAAACTACAGTGAGGCTTTGAGGGTTGTTAATGTTGACTCCATTCATTGAGGAGTTGTGGCAATGGCAATGAATCCACATGCTCCGGGTAAACATATCATACTGCAATGAAAGGCTCCAGTGGGAGGGAGGAGAGGGAGGGGGCATCAAACTCAAATGAAATAGGGCCCTGTGTTTGTCACTTCAAGTGCTGTCATTGATTGTTCTTGTGGGCTAAGGGAGCTTGTTCAATGAAGGGGGGGGGGGAGGGGGTGTGTCCAAGAGGATTTTGGCACCTTTGAGTTCAATGCTTTTGCATGCTGTAAATGTGTTGTAAATGTGTTGGACTCATCCATGTTGCTTTTATGTTTGAAATCTGAAAGGTGCCAGAAACCAGAGGGAATGATGTGGAACTACTACTGTGATCCAGGCTCAGGTTTTAGGGTTTCAAACATTTGTGAGAAGGCTGGGTGAGGCTCATGGGAGTGTGTGAAAGGGAGAGAGAACACATGAGGAGCTTCATGCACTTTGAGATGAATGTGGATTGTGTTTGTTTACTGTGGGTTGTGCATGATGAAGGGTATATTGTAGAAAATGGCCATGTTTTTTGGAAGGCTGGTAACCTGGACTCACAACCACCAGCAAACGGTGGCGTTGAAGCCATGATCAGATTTGCATGTGGAGCATTATTATAAGGTGATCAGTGTCCTGCAAAAGGCTTTGGCACTCCAAATGATAGTGAGGAGAGGAGCTTCCATTTGGGTCTTCATGTGTACCCTCCTTCACTGGCTCAGTCCTCCATTTTTTTCTCTTTAAGTCTGCTCTCAAATTCAACCTCTCTCACTCTTATATACCATGTAATTCATGTGAGTACAAGGCACTGTAAAAGAGAAGCAATTGAAAGGAAAATGAAAAAAAGAAGAAAGTTCTGCATAGAACCAACCCATGCACTGGGATTTGGATAACACCAAAGCCCATAAAGAGCATTCTACTGATGTGATGATATAGTTTAGATTTTCCTCATTGTGTTGTCAGAAGAAAAAAGCTCACGGCACTAACTGACCAAATAAACTCATCCTACTGGGCATTTTGACCTCAGTACCTCAGCCCTGCCCATAACCACACAAAAAACATAAACATTTTCAACCCCAACTTAGGGTACAACAGCGCAGTCCTCTCCTATTCCAAAGATCCTCACACACACACACACACACATATATATATATATATATATACATTTTTTTCTCCCTTTCTGGCTCCAGGAGCTTGTAACCAAACAGAATTCAGGCTTTGGCTCTGGGAGAGCTTTGTCACATCTGGAACTAAGTGACAACGTTGTGCCAATCTGAACTCATGACCCCCCCTCCCTTGTGTTGTATGAACATTGTGTGTTATTTTGGTGGCTAATTGCATTGACTTCAAAGTAGCATCCCCCTTTGGAAGCACACTTCTCTTCTTCCATTGGTGGGAAATGAGTTCAAGTTTTTATTGTTACTACTATTATTATTGTTATTAATAGTAGTAGTATTATTATTATTATTATTATTACTACTACTGCGTGGGTAAAAGAGCCAATTGGAAAAAAAAGGACTGGGGAGTGTGGAGTAATGGCAGCTGGAGCACAAAACAAGGCCTACAGAGTCTGCGAGAGAAAAATCAAAATGGACAGAGCTGTGTTGATCAATAAAAAGACTCCTTGTTGAGGATAGTACATTACATGATTGAGCTGACATTCAAGCCCAGAACCTCAAATCCATTCCCACTCAAGTCCTCCATTTGGCAAAATAAATAATAATAATAATCATAAAAATAAAGTAAAAGGGGATAGGCTAGCCTTCCACCTAATCCTGTGACTGTCATAATTTTTCTTCAATGACTTCTTCCATATTTCACTTTTCATTTCATTTTATTTTACCTTGGGTTTGTGTAGGCTAATGGTGTCTTCCACCTCAATTATGTACACACATGGCCCAACCATCCAAAAGTATGTTTGAATAGGGTTTCCTTTGAAGTGGGTAGTTACAATCAAAAACAATTATTTTTAGTGACAAGATCAATGTCGATTTCTTTAATTTTTTATTTAATATATATATATATATATATATATATTACGAAGGTAATACATTTCCGTGTCGTGTTGGGTTTTTTTCTTCTTCTTTTTGCACATTCCAAGGTGGCATGTGTGGTGGCGTGTGTGGTGAAGTGACTTCATTAATAAATAATACATACACATATATGTATATATATATATATATATATATGTGAAGGGTGGATATGGGGGGTCATTAATGGCCATGGCTTTCAGCCGTCATATTTTGGAGGTTCAGCAAAAGAGAGCATAGCCTTCAAAGTTCAAGTGTGTGATCTTTGTTTTTTGGATTTTTGGGGAGCGAGATTTCATTCCATGTAGGTGCGTGTGGGTGTGAGTTCCCAATGCAGGCTTTCACCAACTTCAACATCCACCAACTTCATTCATCCACTCATTCATCATCCATCCAATCACCGCTGTCTGCAAGCTTTGGCCATGCTAAGCAAGGGGGATGCACAGAGAGAGCCTCAGATCTCTTCTGTTTGTACAACAGCACAAGGATTTGGCAAAAGTCTTGACTGGGAGCTTTGACTGGCGCTGCCTGAGAAGGCCAAGTTTTGATGCCCACCTGAAATTCGATTCATAAATGAACTGAAGTGTTGTACACCCCCCCCCCAGGGGCAAAAAGGAAAAGAATTGATGAAGGGAATGGATGGATGAAAACTATAATGGGTTATCATCCACAGAGAGAGTACTAGCCCAACTTAGTTAGGGCCAGTTTGGAGCTAGGCTTCCTCTTTTATTATATTTTGCTCATCCTGGGTACCCCCCCAATTAAGGCCTTTGTCTCATTGGTATTATTATGCTTTGCTTAATTAGCATCCAAGTACCCCAAAAAAGAATTAACCCAGAACCCACTAACAACTGACTCCTTTTCTTTTTGATGTTGTTGTGGTTTTTGTGTGTGTTTCTACCCTTTGTTTGTTTGCCCTTTCACGTCGAGGTGATGCAGCCAGCTTTACTTACTGGGGGGTTGATTTTTCTCATAAAGCACGGACGGTGTGGGATATGGCTGAGATTTTCTTTGAGATTTTTGCCGAGAGGTGGCTGGTTTTAGGCTTTTCTTATGGCAGTGGATTTATCATTACGGAGACAAAGGGCGATGTACACACTGTGCCTCATGTTGGAGTGGTGTTGACTAACTTAACCAACTCACTCAGCGAGTAGATTCAGTTACTCTCTGGAGACAAAATAAAACACACCACGATCAAGTCTTCTACTTGTAGACTGGTATTGGGCTATGAAGGTGCAGTGGCTGTAAGCCGGGGATCTAGGCACAGCAGCAACAGGAGCAGGAGCAACAGGAGCAGGAGTAGCAGGAGCTGGAGCACCAGCTGGTGGAAATAAACAAGAGTCGTCTGAGGCTGTTTCATGTCAGAACCACAACTGGGGAAAGGCTGTGAAATCAATTAGACAGATCTTTCCGTGAATTTTTTCTCTAGGAATTAGACGAAGAATTTGGGTAGCTCGTTGGGCCATGTTGGCAAGCAGCTCATAGTACTAGACTGCAATCGTCGTGTGAGAGTGAGTGTGAGAGAGTGCAGCCAGGTCTCTGGCACTAACGCGTTGTCGCGAAGTTATTAGATGTCCTGGGTGTGTTGACTGCAGGCAGCGAGTGTTGAGCTAGAGAGAGCTCAACGATTGGCAAAATAGGAAAACAACGTGAGAATGAACAGGCTTCTTAACCCGCTGCAGTATGCCATGCGCATGCAGCCTGCCTGCTACCACAACAGCGCCGTTTCAAACAGAAGCGTCTACGTTGATCTGTACTTTAGCAGCCAAGAATGCCACTCCCCCTCGTCTCGGATTGCATGCTCAGCGCGCCCTCATCCTGGCAATTTTATTCATTATGTTGATTTCCTGGCCTCTTCTGGTTTGCGCGGAGGCAGCGCATGCAGGTTGGCCCGCGTATCCGCATCTTACTTTTCGCTTGACAGTGATTCGAGCTGTGAGGACCACATTTTTTGTCTTGAAGCTGTGGGAGTTGTGTGTCTTATACGTTAGCGGTGTTGTGATTGGCGTGCATCTTTGATTGGACAATTCTGAGAGCGCTGGGCCGATTGACGTTTGTATCGCGACCACTCCTTGATACTTGCAGGTTTGGAGAACTATAGTGAGTCTCATGACGTGCAGGTCATGAGTGAGCTAAGCGCCGAGGTATTCTCACGTGATCTCACGCAGGAGGAGACTGGCGCTGGCGAAAGACCAAAGTTTTGGAATCGTAAGTTCCTTCGAGGTATTGCAAGAATCCTCAACTTGGGATGGAAACGTGTCTTCGGTTCGCTGCGTGTGCGCACTGCACCTCCTCTTTTCTTTTTACCTTATGAAATTTTGCACATGTTGGGATCGCCTGCTGCGCCATGGGAATAATCACATTGTCATTGTATTACAATTCTCAAGTCGGAACCTGGAAGTACGGTTGAACTCGTTAATCGAGTGTCGCTCGCCATTCTCATTTCGACTGTTGCAATACCAGAAATGATCTGGTCAGACCTAGACGTTGCACTGCCACTTGGTCAGTGTCGAGTGCGAAGAAGCATGTGTTAAACACGGATGGATCATGTGAGGAAACTTGAATTTGACTTAGATTGCAAGTAATCACCCTCATCAGAATCCTACTCTCTCTCTCTCTCTCTCTCACACACACACACACACTCTCTCCCTGGGAAGTAAGGATAAGCGAATTTGCTCTAACATTCAAGTTGGCCGCACATAATCTCTTCACGGTGCGTACACCACTTGGAACCAACGGAGATTTCGTAACAAAAAATGATTGCTTTGTTGCCTCAGATCGTATAGGCACCATGGATTCGAGGTTCTGTGGGATGGATCTCTTCACTATATCTCTTACATGCAGTACGATTATTGATCTACTATTGTGTACCTTCAATGGACGTTAGCGCAAAGAACTTCATGAGTTGATGCTCGCGTACATATAGCTGTAGACTCAATGACAATCCTCAATAGGTCTTAGCAGAACCCTGGAAGGTTGATACACACTATTAGAAGTTTGCATGATGCTGGCGGTCCTCCATCCGTTCTCACTGCGCTCTTCAGGAGAGCGGCATTTACACACTCCTTCATGCGCCAGCTGGGGAATTCACCACGGATGGGACGTTTCTAGAGTGTCACCTCCATTCATTCTTAATATATCAGCCTCATGAATTATTCCGGACAGTGTAGCCAAGATTTAACAACCGGTTCACATACAGGTAAGAAGAGCGGGTACGATTCAACCAAAGAGTTGCTCCTTCAGGTGTCAGGCATCTCAGGGGAGGAGAGGACTTTGCTTCATCCACACGATGACGATTTTGGAATATACTCAAATACTAACCGGCGAATGTTGATCCCAGCTAGTAAGTAAATCATCCTCAATACTGCGTTTGGGTCAGTGATAAATATGGGCGTTTTCTGAGACGAGAAGTTCAGAGCTCTGTTTGACCGCTTTGGGTCGGCTATGTGAGCAGAGGAATAATGTTGGTGCATGTGGCGTTATTGCAGATGTGTGCACCAACAAAGACATTAGCATTTCCCAGGGCTCTGATGGTTCTTCTGGCATACCTCGCTATTTCGTGCAGATAGTGAATACTTGCATATTTGACTGTGCTCCGTCACAAGTCCATGTATACTGTGGTTGGTTTGCGTCAGCTTTGCTAGTAAATCCTAATACCTTCCGACGATTAGCATATGATGATTGCCTCGTGAATGGAGGGAAACCTCTTAAGTACGGGGAGATAGTAAGATTTACGTATGCGAACTCTTTTATGTATCCTATCAGATTTAAATCTGCTAGTTTTTGCAAATAAAATCCCTGAACTCGTGTATACTAGGGATTATACACGACTTTGACCGTCAACACTGGTGCAAGTCTGAAACACCGTCTTCCATGTAGTGCAAGAGTCTTGTTGTTTTGCAAGGGTCCTGCCAACCGTGGTAGAAATATCCAGTTCACTTTTCCAGATTAGTTCTAATTTTGATCAGTATCGAATGTGTACGAGGGAGTCCATACCTACAGCTCTGCACGAGTTGTAGACAACAAAAGAGCTTCCAGTGGGAGATATAGTTGCATGCGTGCTTTTGGTCCAGGGGTTTCACAATGCCGAGTCCTTCTCCTGGGCGCGTCTCTGTTTCACCACGCAGATAGTGAAGTTCAACAGAGAAAAAAACAACATGCATGACTGCTTTCAAGTAGAGGAAGAACCTTGTGCTGGCTGATGTTCAAAGGAATAACCGGGTGCCTATGTTGTATATTGCAGATGAATGCACCAATAAAGACATTAGCATATCTCAAAGACGCGATGGCTCACCTGGAATCCCTCGATTCAGTGTCCAGATAGTCAATACGTGTATGTCTGACTGTGCTCCAGCAGACATTCACGTGTACTGTGGCTGGTTTGCATCATCCCCTCCGCCCAACCCAAATGTCTTCCGACGCCTTTCTTACAACGACTGCCTTGTAAATGAGGGCGGTCCCCTGGGGCACGGCGCCATCATCCAGTTCCAGTATGCTAATTCCTTTATGTATCCAATCCGGTTCCGATCGGCCAGGTTCTGTAGATGATGACCATGTGTGCATAGCACACACGACCAGTGTAGTACACACACACCAAGTATGAACATGATCTGGGAGCACACTCAGCTCCCCTAGACTAAGTATAAGGAGAAGTTATGATCGCTGGGCTGGGCTGCAATTCTGTCTGATATTGTGTGTTGATTGCCCTTCTGAGACAAAGCACTGACTGATTTGCCATGAGAGCACTTTGCTTACACCCACCGTGCACCAGGGGTTTCAGAAATGCCGGAACAGAGACAACAAGGAAATGGCCACAGATGTTTCAGACTCATGATTTGGTATTGATGATGATGATTGAGGTAAACAGTAAAGGACATTTGAGGCAATATGTGTTTTTATTTTCTTTTTCTTTTTCTTCGTGAAGGACTTGTGATCGACTGATAGCTTTGATGATTTCACTTCTGTGTTGTATTTACTCCAGATGTTGGCACTCTACCTCTCTCTCTTTCACTATTAATTGTTGCTGTACTTTTTGCATCTATACCTACCTACATACATACATCTGTATAGGAATGACTACTCTGGGTGATGACAGTTTTCCTGTATTTTAACACACAGGCTTTTAAGGTGGTAAAAGCCCCACCTTAAACCGTAATTAAGGTTCTTTCTACATGGTCCTAGTGGGTCATAACATAGCAATGTGGAATCCAAAGAATCCCAAATCCTGCAGTTAATGTGCAGGCTCTAGGACAAATCAAATCCTGACCTTTCAGAGCTATGCAGTGTTCCTTAAATATATTAAAATTTTAGATTAGTTTGGATAGTTTGGGCACTGATGTGGCTGATTTACTTTTATCATTACTTGTGTATGGTACGTCTGACGTGTAGTTTATTACAACTAAACCCTTATTATGTTTTTTTTTACTGTTATTGTGAACAAGTTTTTAGAATTTTAATAGACATATCATGCACATCGTCAGCATTAATCTATTTGCTTTTAGGAAATGCTTGAGAAATCTATTTCGTACACACACACACACACACACACACATATATATATATATATATGTATATGTATATATATAAATTTTAAATTTTTGGTCTTTATTTTGGCATTCTTGGATATATTTTGAATCCTTTTCATGCACACAATAAGTAAATTCATCATTTTCATTTTTATTTTAGTATTTAAGATCAGATAATGTCAGTATTTTTTTCTCCATTCTTTGCTACTCTATTTCCCTGTGATGTAGACCTCATTCCAAAATGGAAAAATAACCATAACAAAAAAATTATCCTTTTTACTTTACAAGAAATGATTTATAACAATTCTGCAAATATAAATACAACATACTTTTAATTTTTTTTGAGGCATGAAAATTTTGAATAGTCAATTTAGAAAAAGATAAAGTAAAACATTATTGATAGAAAAAAATTCACATAAAAAGGCGAAGTCTACAAAATAAAGGTTATATAAAAACACATCAAATCAATTTGATAAACATGTTCATAACACTCAATGTATTATACATATCAATAGAAGTTTCTAATAATAAAGTTTTAATATAAAATTAATTGAAGATATGATATATGATATGCATATCATATGAAAAATAAGAAAGTATTTTACATAATAAAGATAAAAATATAGAAATAAATTAATTTTCACAAGCCAAATTATGAAATATATAATCAATTTGTCAATGACATGATTAGACATCTTATATCACTTTTGACAACTTAAATAATTCATTAAAAAATATTTTGTTGAATAAAAGGTCACAAGCTTGAGGGATCTGCCTACTATGTATTTGTACACAACCCACAATCTTTAGCCACTTAGTATGTGGCACATGTCCCTGCTACCTTTTCTCTTTTTGGCATAGTCCATAGAAGAAATTAGGAGTCCCTAGTATTGTACCAAAATTTTACAAGTAGTATCAAAGAGAGAGATATGGTACTTTAACGAGGAGAAGGAGTGTTGGCATTGCTACTATAAGTGATATTTGATTGCTTGCCAAGACACACAAAAATTCTAATTTACAAAGTTTGTTAGTAACCTCAATGTTTATTTGGAAGAATGTTAATTAAAAAGAGATGAGCATTTAGATTCTTAGATGCTAAGTGAGGCAATTGTGATATAAGACTCAGTGGTAATGAAAGTAGTTCTTTTTTGATACTCTATCTATTGTCTCCAATGTCTTAACTATTTAAGATTTCAATCCAAAATTTTGGCTCTCAATTCCTTCAAGCTTCTCTATAGTTTAATCAAGATTTTTGAAAGTTAGATAACAAAATTAGTGTGATGAAATCCAATATTCCAACATTCAGTTATTTAATCCAAATATAATGGAGTAATGTAATGGACTAATCTATATACATAATTTTTATATTCGTGTAGATATTTCTATTATAATTGATTACATATTAGATAAGATTTTATATCACTTGCAATTTAAAAGAGAATAGTCTTTTATATATTCAAGTCACTTAAACAAACTATATTTGAGATATTCAAACTTTATTATGGATTTTTTTTTAAGTCAATAATTTTAGATGCTTCTTTTATTAAGAGCTTTTTTAGTGCACATAAGTCAATATTACAACTTAACATGCTTTAATATTTTCTAGGTTGTCTTGCATTTAACTAAATAAATCATGAATGTTTTATAAAAGTAAAAGATTTAATAGTTGTAATATGTAGACAAGAAAACTTATTCATCTAATCTTACTACTAAGACCTTGCTTCTCTTTAATTTTTATAATAATTTTTCTTATATTCAAGTTGTATAGAAAGTAAAAATATGAAGCCAAGAAATATCATATTATTAGCGATTGCTTACAACAACAAAGATATATGTAGACATTAGATATTTAAGAAACTTAATGTAGACTATTATCACAAATATAAATATTTACCTAGATAAGAAGTGTTAGATAGAAGATAAATATAAGTAAATTTGATATTATCTTATGATAAAGCTTCTTAGAAGCTTTAAAAATATATATTTGATTTTATACATATTTAAAGTTGATTCATAGATTAAAAACTTAGCCAACAAGTTAGCCATGTAATATACATGTTGGTAGCTTATGGTGTAAACTAACAATATGGTACACATATAAGACATCTATTTCTTGTGTATACTGCATTTACCACTGCTTCCGCTTAAATTCATGTCTAAGGTATTGAACATGAAGCATATTTCTTACCATCTCTACAATGGTTCAATTTTTTCTTTCAACAACTCTATTTTGTTGTGGTATGTAAGGAATAGAGGTTTGTCTTGCAATACCATGCATCTTAAAGAAATCATTGAATTGCTTCGACATATACTCACCTCTATTGTCCATACGTAATATCTTGATTTTGCACTCACATTACTTTTCAATAAGTGCCTTAAATTCTTTAAACCTTGTGAAACATTCACTCTTTGCTTTGAGGATGAAAATCCACACCTTCCTTAAAAAATCATCAATGAATGTGACAAAATACCTTGTACCTCCTATTGATAGCATCATCATAGGTTCACATACATCAGAATGGACTATCTCCAATAACTTGGTTGCATATGTTGCAATTCCACTTGGAAATGTAGCCTTTTGTTGTTTGCCTTGAATAAAATCTTTACAAGCAAGTATCATAGCATTGTAGCTTAAATGACCAAGATCTAAGCCTCTTACTATGGATTGAAGCTCCTTCATGCTTTTGGCATTAAAATGACCAAGATGTTGATGCCAAATGCCAAACTTGTCTTGATCTTGAGAAAATTCAGCAAATACTGCTACTTCAACTCCATTCACCTTCTTACACTTGATGAAGTAGAGGTTGCCATCTCTAAAGCCCTTTGCAACATCATCTCCTTTCAATGTCTTCACAAAACATCCATTCTTATGAAATTGCACTTTACAACCATGTGAAATAAGTTTATTCACTGAGAGGAGGTTTTTCTTCATCTTTGGCACATGTAAGACGTCTTTCAATGTGATTCTCTTAGTTTGGCCTTTCACAACAATCTCTACTATAATAGAGCTTGTTCCAATAGCTTATACTATGCCATTATCTCCCATGAATATATTTGCTGCTGAAATTTCTTCATAAGTGTCAAAAGAACACTTGTATGGAGTCATGTACTTGGTGGCACCCAAATCAACAATCCATTTGGATATGGCAGCCATAGAAGTATCTTCACTTGCCATGAATGCATAATCATCACCTCTATATTCATCATGATCATTTTTTGCACTTTTTCTATCTTCTTTCTTAGCCTTGTTGCAATTTCTAGCAAAATGACCTGAGTTTCCACAAATGAAGTAAGTTCTTGGATTGCCATATTGGTTAGAATAGCTTCCCTTGTCTTGTCTTGAAAAGAGAGCCAAATCCTCATTTTGAGGCTCTTTTTCTTTCTTCTTTATTACTTCATGAGCAAGTCTTATCATCACATAATCCATTGTGAGCTCTTTTAGTTTAATGGATTCTAATGCCACAATGAAGTAGTTCTAGGACTCAGGAAGGCTCATAAGCAAGGTCATGATAATACCACTCTCTTTTAAAGGCTTGTCAATAATTACAAGTTGATTAGCAAGAGCCTTTACCTTATTGACATGAGCCATGAGGTCATCACCTTCTTCCATCTTACAAGTAAAGAATTTCTTTCTTGTGAAAATAATATTGGATAAGTTCTTGCTCTCATATATGTTACGAAGGGTCTTCCATGCTTTTGGTAGTACTTTGCAAGAAATAATGTAAGAAAAATTGGCTTCATCCAAATTGGTATCAATCATGCCAAAAGCCTTTTTTTCACATCTTGTAAAGTCTTTCTTCTTCTTAGCATCAGCATGCATGCTTGGAAGCTCGTCACTATCATCTATAATATCTCAAAGGTCCAAAGATGCCAACAAAAGTTCCATTTTTACCTTCCAATGGTAAAAATTGTCACCTTTAAATTTTTCAATCACTCTCAAATCTTCACCTTTACTAAAAGATATGTCTAAAACTAGATCTATAAAAAAATATCAAAAAAAAAGTCTCTATGTGCTTAAAATCACCAAAACCATTTTGTACTAGCAAAATCTTAGAATGCCTTTTTGTAAACAAATGAATATTTCTTCACTCTAAACACTCCCAAATCAACTTTCAAAGCTTCTAACAAGTATGTAGACTTCAATCACCCTCACTATCAAGTTTTCTAACTCATAAAATTCACTTTCTTACTAAAACTTCTACAACACCAAAGACACTATCAAGGTCTTTGTATAAGATCTTAATCACTCAATCTTAGAAATTAAGAACCTTCAAAAAGATGTTAGGGATTTATAAGGCCCAAATCAAAACTTCCATAAGCCAAAACACAAGATTAGATCATACAAATTCTAACATCAGCAA